TATATATACTATATATATTTATATAGCTATATATAAGCAATTTATACTAGTATATACATATATAGTTTACACATAATACTAGTATATACATATATAGTTTACAAGAAAGTGTCTTACATAAAAAAATTAAAAAGAAATAGCCCGAAACGGAAAAAGCCCGTTAGGCCCGTTTAGGCCCGCGGGCCCGACTCATTTAGCCCGGGACCATGTGGGCTTAGGACCGTCGTGGGCCGATTCCACACATTGGGACCGTTTGGCCCGGGCCCGCCTCAGCCCGGCCCGCCTCAAGCCCATGCACGTTTGGCCCGGACCCAGACCACAATACAACATTAGAGAACACTAAATTTTGCTAGAACAATTCTAAGTTAATAAGTACTTACTCGCTCCAATTAAATAAATATAAACTCTTTTAAGAAATTCATCAAACACCTTGTTTGTGTGCTTTTATGAGTTAAACCACTTTAGTAAAAGGTTATATCAAATCACCTCAAAACTTCTCGAGCCAATACGCACGCCCCAGTCCAATTGACACCAAACAATCGATTCTACAACAACCAGTGCATTTCAATCAATTTTAAAGTACTACACATAATTATGAAATTTATTGATGATATAGAGGAAGAAAAGAATTAACTATTCAATTCTTACCTATTACTACTGTAGGGTAATTGACAATAGGGGATTTTACATACCTGAGTTCAAGAATAAGTGAGTTATGAAAAACCCTAGGATTTTTTTTTTGTTGCCTACGTGCTCTGTTGCTTTTCGTCTAAGGCAAAAGCCTTCGCCCTTTTTGAAGAATCAGAACGTGGGTTTTGTTCTCTTTAAGGCTTAAAGCCTTTAGTTTCCAATAGCCCTTTTATGGGGTTTTAGTCCCCTTTCCCTTTTTTTTTAACTAATAATTAATGATACCCACTTTTAATAATTAATAATAGTAAAATTATTAATATTTTTCTAATTGTATATCCAAATATATATATATATATATATATATATATATATACACACACACACACACACATCACTATAGGCAAGATAAAAATAATAAAAATGGTAATAATTTAGTTCTATAGTTAGCGTGTCTCTAAACTTTTATAAATTTGAGGAGTGTTACACTTTCTTTTTATCTTCAGAGTCTAAATGAACAACTTCACTACCTTAGAGGTAGAGATAATGTCTGCATTAATTGTGGCAAAAGAAAATAGTTATCCATCCATATTATCCATTAAAAAATGGGTTGAATAATGAATTGTTAACAGGTCAAATATGGATAAAAATCATATTATCCACTTAGAAAATGGATAATCAATGAATAACTAATGTGTTTAGTTTTTATATTTTGTAAAGCCTCAAATTCGGAGTTAATAAAATTTGGGAGACTATGAATTCTCCCAAAGTGATCATATTCAAGAAGCCAGGTTAACCAATTTTTCATTCGTATTAAATATGAGCCGGGTCGGATAATTTTATCCGTTTTTGCATCACCCGTTTCCGACCCGTCTCATATCCGACCCGACCCACCTATTTGTCATCCCTAGTCTGCGTACACACTACCCTCCCCAACCCCACTCATGAGATTATACCCGAGTTGTTGTTATTGTTGTACTTCTAAGTACCGAATTAAAATCAAAGTGCATATTGATTCTTACATCATAGGTGGATTTTCTTATTTTTAGTTTGATTCTGTTTTTCTTCAGCTTTTTTATCTTTCAGATGCTTTGATAAAGTAAAAAGGTAGAGCACTACCATCTGGAGAGAAATTTAGCCAACTCTCCCAATGGTTTCGGACCACAGGAACTTGGACGAATTAAATTAAGATCATGGCATTAATGTAGCTGTGGTCCAAACAAAAAATGTGGCAAGATCATATCCATAGTAGGACCTTCATTTGATTTTCAGCTTCCCAATTTAAAATGTGAAGAAAACTAGTAACTAACTCCAACAACCATTTTGCATCTCTTACGTCTTTAACTTGGGAGAAATTCAAAAATAGCCAGATTTACAACCGGTCGTTCAAAAATAGTCCAGTTTCAAAAGTAATCGAAATTTAGTTATTTTTCATGTAAAGATAAATAAGAGCGAAAACACTGTTCAAAACCCGGAAAATACGCTAGTATATTATACTGGAGTTCCAGCATAAGTATGCTTGAACTCCAGCATATTATACTGGAGTTACAGGATAAGTATGCTGGAACTCCAGCATAATATGATGGAATTTCAGCATAAGTACACTAGAACTCCAGCATAATATACTGGAGTTCCATCAAGTATAATTATCCAGTATAAAATATTGGAGTTTGGAGCACCGGTGCTACAGTCTCCAGTATATTATACTGGAGTCAGCAAAGTATACCGGTCCATCATAATATGCCGGAGTTCATACACAGGTGCACCGAACTCCAGTATATTATGCTGGACCGGTCTCTGTTGCAGCAAAATAGTGGCTATTTTTCATTGATTTCGTAAACGCTTGCTATTTTTGAATGACCAGTCCAAAAACTGGCTATACCTTGCTATTTTTACCTTTAACTTCTCCACCTAAAATTTCAGTGGTACCAGAGTATGATGGTAATGTTATTGTGAAGGTCCATTAATTTTGGTAAATCAGTGCAAGCACCTCACAAGTATATATCTACATTACTTGTCCAATGTCCTCTCGAAATCACGTTAAACTAGAGTTGTGTCTTACCTCAAAGGGTATGCATTTGCTTAAAATGGGCCAAGTAATTTAGGAGCATAAGGTCATGGTATGGATGCAGAAGATCTTTACAACCGTATTTCAAGAACTTATGTCACAACGAACTGATAAAAGTATAGTACAAAAGATGAAACAAGTCTGCGAGAAAAATTGAGAGATAGAGAACATAGGAGAAATAAATTGCATACGTTGTTATTGAACACCTACAAGGAGAATGAACTCGGAATCTAGCGAGAATTCCTGGAAAGAATCTAAAGCAAATCTGTGGTGGAATGCAAAAGGTGACACAGAAGGCATAACATAGCTCAATAAAGCAAAACAGAGATGCGGGAGTTAGAGATAAAATTTGGCGCACTCATTTAGCAGTCGGACAACTTCCCAATATAATTGATCTGAAGGAGCTCCAGCCACTCCATTTCCACCATCATGCAGACCTGTCCGAATACCATAACATCCTTCCATCCCTCTTTCAATTGATCAACCGGGGCTCTCATACAATTGAAAAATACATCATGTCCAAAGAATTTTAACTTTCTGATGCACCTTATGCATGATGCCTCATATCAAAAGCGAACCCTTTCGTTGGGTGGTAAAGTAGATCCAAAATCATTAAAAACGATAGGAACCTGACACTTGATATAAAGAAGATAGGAACCTCCACCTTCAGTTTTGTCCTATAAAGTTAAAATCTAAACCAGAACAGTCTTACAGCTTATGATCTGCTACTAACAGTTTGTTCAACATTCTATACAGATATAGGTGTTCTTTCCCAGAACTCATTATTACGAGTAGTCATCGTAGCAAATTTCTTCTTCTGAAAGTGCAAAAATCAGAAGCAGTCTAAAAAAAGGATCTCTATTTCATAAACTTCAGAAATGGCCTTCAAATCTGATGGCAGTCACAATGAATCCTTAACTGCATAATGTGACAATTCAAGTCCCAGAAAACATATTCACGGAACCAAACGTGACAGCTAGCTTTTCATCAAGCCAAGCTGCTGCTTCCTCGTTTTCTCTCTCAATGAACGCATATCATATGCGTGGTGTTAGCAACAATGCCTTCTAGGAGAGCACTATCCATAGTTCGTTTAATTTGTCCAGAACTTCCAAAATCTGTGGGTGTAACTTATCAGCAACACGAAACTCGTGAACAACACCATTCACCTCGATCCAACTACATCCGATGTCTGATTGGGTCTTTCTCTGACCCATTGCTTTCCTCACTTCAGAAACTTTCTCCCAGTTGCCTAGAGATGCATACAGATTAGAGAGCAGTACCTCACTTCCACTAGGTCCAGCAGAGTTAAGCTGCTTTATAAAATCTATAATGCTGTTACCAAGGAAAATATTGCGATGAATTCTACAGGCACTGAGCAAAGCCCTCCATATGACTATATCAGGTTTTATCTGCATGCTCTTGACAACTTCAAGTGCCTTTTCCAAGTATCCAGCACGGCCAAGTAAATCAACATAACAGCCATAGTGTTCAATCTGAGGCTTAAGTCCCCATAAGGTCTCCATGTTATAGAAGATTGAAGAACCCTCTTCTACCAGACCTGAATGGCTACAGGCGTTAAGCACCCCTATAATAGTTACTTCATTTGGATTAACTTTTTTATCTAACATCATGTTAAACACGGTTAAGGAATCCTCACCAAGCCCGTGATATGATAACCCTGAGATCATACTTGTGAAATTGTGTACATCAGGTCTTGGAATTCTATTGAAAATCAATCTAGCACAGTCTATTCTCCCACATTTCGCATACATGTCAATAAGAGCAGTAGAAATATTTGAACTACAAAGAATATCATTTCTCATAATATAAGCATGAATCCAATTTCCCTGTTCTAAGGCCCCAAGATTAGCACAGGCAGATAGAGCACAAACAAGTACAGCCTCATTAGGCCTTACCTTATCTTCAACGGCACAAAACATCTCATTTAAACAGACAAGTACCTCCATGTACCTCCCGTTTCCAGCAAAACCCGATATGATAACAGCCCAAGAAACATCATTCCGCTGTGGCATTTTATAAAAGATTTCACAAGCTTGATCCATCTCACCATTATTTGCATACCCACACACCAAACTAGTCCAAGAGAACACATCTCTTTCAGTCATTTTATCAAAAACTTTGTAAGCATCATCTGTAATCTTGAAAACCGCATACATATTAATCAATGAATTCCCCACATATAAGTTTGATTCCAGCCCATTTTTCACCACTAACCCATGAACAATTTTTCCGTGTACAATTGATCTTTGGTGGGCACATGATGTAACAATGAAAGTGAAAGTATACTCGTCTGGATGAACCCGAATCAGGGGATCTAAATTCAAGAGTAGGCGAAAAAGACTGAAACTTTCTGAAGAATTTTGGAGTTTGCAATAGGTTCTGATAATCAGATTCCATATTAGAATGGGGGGTGAAGGCAGGGGATAGTGAAAGAACAAAAGTCTTGCTGAGGTGAATTCCATAATGTGTAGGTAACAGTGAATGAGAGAATTAACAAAAGCAGCAGTTGATGAGAGGGCTTGTGTGAGTATTTGGGCATGTATTTGCTTTAGTTGAGATTTTGGTGGGCGTTGGTGTAGCAATTTAGATAATTCTTTTCGAGTTATGTGAATATTCTGGCTGGGAATTTTATGTTGGGAGACGGCGGGAAAAGTGGTTGTTGAACAATAACAGATTCGACATTTGGGCTTAATATCAGTCAAGTGTTTGGCTTTAAGCCAAGAAAACAAGCGCATTTCAAGTTTCACAAAGAATATGAAACTGGAAATCAATTAGGCGTCTCAGCTCTAGTCATACTGATATTTAGTGCTTTGCACTAATTTCTATCTTGGCCTTGGGGGTTGGGGGGGGGGGGAGTGAAAACTTGTGCAGAGCAGTGGTAAAGAAGCTAGAATTTTACTCCATAAGAAAACTCAATGATGTCAAATACGACTAAGTTGGGGTCTTCAAATATTTTACTCCACAAAAAAACTCAATTAGACTAGTTTTTAGAAGTTTACTTGACAAATTACAAGGACTTGAAACTGACTGAACTCAACTTAGATTTCAGCATTGTGCGTAATCACAATTGATGTTGAGTGACTGACTGAACCTAACTTACTGTAGGTAATTTCGGATAATTGAGTGATCATTTGAGTAATGGAATCATTACTTAAATAGTCACTCAATTATTCGAAATTATCTAGTTAAGTCATTTTTCCTCCGTTTGTAAAAAATAAGTCACTTAATTACGCTTATAGCACTCACAAGATAATTTAGAGGGTAAAATATGTATTTGGTAATCAAAAGTTTGAGAAATCTAGTTAAGTGACCTTCTGAGTGTTATAGGCCTAGTTAAGTGACTTTGTTGTTACAAACGAAAAAAATATGACTTCAATAGGTAATTTCATATAATTGAATGACCATTTGAGTAATGGACTCTACATTCACACTCATTCCAACTTTTGAGTGCCAACATCAATGGCCTTCATTGGATCATTACTAGTTAACCATAAAAAATACTACTAGTAAAATATAGACAAGGGTCAACCACAGTTTAATGGCTAATCTTTTTCTGTCTCGTACCTTCAAAAGAAGCATAACATGGAATTTAGTAATTGAGTGTAAGTAGTCAAAAGAAATTGCCACAAAGGAAACTGAGAAATGAATTTACTTAGTTTATGAACCAAGGAAAATAGACTTTTCCCAGATAAAAGCCACACCAATTTCGGGACAACCACAAGAGCAATCCCATTATACATACTTTAGGCAAAACTATCATATATAGCAAGTAAGGTACACACCAACAGAAAAAGAAAAGAAGTGAAACTCTGTTGACTCTCTCATGAAAATATCAGATATAGGCATTTGATAATAACCCTCCTGTATATGTATTAACCTCTTGACCTGATTAAGGCCAGAAAGCTGACTCTCGATGTTGTATTGCAAAATCAAACGAACGCGAAAACTTTCATGGCAGAACTCTATGCTTTTCCATTTGCAATCACCCCTTTAATCTTCTCGTTGTCTTCCATGTGGCTGAAGTTGCCTCTTTGCTTGAAGAGCTGCGTGTGATGGTGCCTACAATACAGCTTATGATCATGAGCCACATAATTTGATGGACTAATCACACAGCCCCCATGGCTACATTTGAAACATGCCCTGTGGTACGACGTGCCATCAACAGCCACCTGTGAAATAGCAATGAGCATAATAAGTGTATGTTGATCTAAGAGGAAAAGGAGAGCTTTCAACAGGAGCACTCAGGCTTGGATTCAACTATTCATAAATTCTTATTTTCTGGTGATTACAGTACAAACGATTAGATTGCCTACATTAGGGCACTCAGGCTTGGATTTCGAAAGAGAGATCAATGTCTATAGTGTTACTATTCATCGTTTTCCACTAAAGCTAACTACTAAACAGAAAAGAAAATGTCAGTATGTACCTTTTCGAGGGGGTAAACAGTTTTCTTGCAGGATACACATTTATCTTGAGTTCCACCAAACAAAGCTGAAACTTTGCTGTTTGATTGTCCCTGAGTAGATCAACAATACAGCACAAGTGAGCTCAGCGGGTAAAAAGAAGAGAACGGTGTATGCTTAAGGGATCATAAGAGATCTTGACATTAGAATCAATCATGGAATACCTGATCAGCAGATCTTTCCCTGGCTGTTCTTGGAGCCCCTACTGCAAACAATATAACGAGCAAGTGAAAACAAGCTTCAAAGGAATAAGTGATGCAAAAAATGAATTATAAGAAATATCAACTGGGTAGTAACCTTCAAAACTCTTGTTCAGGCTTCCAGTCATTTTGAATAGTTGATCAAAATGAGGTCTGCAGTATAAAACTCCTTCATAGGAGTTGTAGTTACTTAGCTGCACAAGTTTAAAAAGGACAAGGAAATTAAGATCAAGAAGTCTTTTTATGGATTGATGAAAAAAGGCAAAGGAAATGATGCTAAAGATACATCAGAGAGTAATTGACATCATAATATCAGTCAACCTAGACTTTAATACTTTCAATTAATAGACTACCTGGCAATTAGGCGAATATTACTTATGTTCAAGTAGCACAAACTACAGAGAGATTTAATGAAGTTGTCCGGAAAAAAGAAATGTTCTGTCCTTCAAAATTGGAGGAAGAGCTGCAATTTCAACACAAACCAAGAGTTGTACTGTCATAGCTAGCAAGGTAGCTGTTAAGTTGAGGACCTGACTTCAAGACTAGAATGCAAAAATATCGCTTAACTCATCAACCAAATAGTGAAGGAAAAAGTTTGTCATTTAGCATAGTCTTATTTTGATAAATTCAAAGAAATGCCAGCACTTGGGCAATAGAACAAATAATCAGAAGTTTCAAATTCATGGTTTATCCTTTGCACTATCTTTTGAAAAAGCTAATAGATCCAGAATTCACAGATCAACAAAATAGGAGAATCAATGCCGGTATGAGAGGTTAATTGAGGATTAAAAGAGGACAATATTTAAGTTAGCAATACAATCAATTTTTGTATTGTTCTGATATATTTCATGTAGAATATTGAAGAAAAGTTCTTTGGCGGCCAAATAAATACAGAAAAGATGAGAATGATCATAAAAATAAAAAGCAAAGGCAAGATACAAGTGCAGGAAATTCAGATCTTCAATGTAGCAAGACAATAAGAAACTGCTGTAAATCGCTTTATCAATATCAATATGTCATCAAAGCTGTTATCTTTATGCCCAGCTTCAAATGCAAAAATCGCATGTTTACATATTACACCTAAGAAAGTAGTACTGCCAAATACTCAAAACTTTCAACAAGGCAGTTCACAACATTAGCAGCTAATGGAGATCCATTGTCCAAGATTATAATTCTCGATTATCATCGAATCGAATTAACAAGTAGCATGAGTGTTTCAATCTGAACACGCCCAAACAAAAATCAAACCAGGAAATACCTTTTAATAACATTAGGAGGAAGAAAATAAAAATACTGCTTTCCGGATAATAAATGTCGACTATAAATGATCTCAAGCAATCAGAAAGTCATTATATATAATTGTGAGAAAATGAAGTAATCACCTTGAGAGTACCCTTGCAATGATGACATCTGAAACAAGACTTGTGATAGACTTTGCTGTCAGCCTTAAGTTGATCAACCAAGTAGACAGTTTTCTCACAGGCCTTACACTTCTGTGTTGTCCCTCCAAATGTTGCCATTACTTTTTTCTCTGCAGATAGATAGACAGACACACAGACAGATCTCTACTGATAATTCAATCCCTCAAATTCTGATCCAGTAAGCCAAAAAAAAGAGAGACCCTTTTTCCAGGAATAGTCTCTCACTTTGAAAATTTGAGTCAATTACAGGACAGAGAACAAGTTCGGGCGTTACCGACGTGTTGAATACTTATTAGTAGTAGTAGGGGAGGACAGGCCTTTTCAATTGTGAATAGAAGAATATTGTCTGTCCACATTGTGGGTGTGGGGCATTACGGCCAATTAAAAATTTGAATTTTCGATTGACTCCAGCAAAGTAGTAATAGTGGATGGACAATAATATCCATTACTCAAACACGCGCCGATTCTCAAGAGGATTGTGCCTTCCGCCAACTATAGTTTTGGCTTTTGTGCGCTGTATGTATGTACAACTGCAAGTTGGTGTCAATGGATATTAGAAAACCGACTAAATCGATCGAACTGTACCGCATTGAACCGATTTTTAGATTTCTTTTAAAGAAATCGTAGGTTTTTATATAAATCTATAACCGTACCGATAATTAGGGTAAGTTTTTTATTTTATAAAAATAAACTGAAAAAATATCGAACCGTACCAAATAAATTTTACATGTAAAAAATATATTCATATAGTAAGTTTAAAACTAATAAAGTATTAAATTTTTCATTGGGTCTTGGAATTATGAAAACTGTTACAAGCCAATAAGTAATTAAACTCAAAATACTAATTTCTAAAACCCATTCTGCTACTTATACTTAAACTAAGCTATTTCAAGTATCTTTATTAGCAAGACACAAAGTATTCTAACGATTATGAGTAGCAAACTACAATGTTTGAATATGTTTCCTTTCATATAATTTAGATTTATCTTTTTGAATATTTAATCTTCTATAGACTCTATTCTTGAGTCCTATCTTGGTATATCTTTCAACTCGTGTGATTTATATTTTCTTTGCTTTTACTTAGTTTCTTTTACGTTGGTGTCGAATAGTTGTGTATCTATACTCTAACCATCTTTCATGTTTTTAATTCATTATCCTTTAGGCAATAAAATTGTCTAGAGAGTTTCGCTAAATCCTATAAAAGAACGTACGTTATTGCATTCTACTTTTACTGGTGAATTTTATATGACATTTAAAAATACCGAAAATTAACCGAACCGTACCGATACCGACATGATTGGGACGGTTTCGAAAAGTCTAGTTTTGGTTATACATAATAAAATAACCGAAAAATTGATATGGTACAAATTTTATAAAATAACCGGCCGAACCGAACCATTGACACCCCTAACCGCAACATTTACTACTCGTTAGTGACTTAGGTGGCCTATTTTTTTTCTAGGAAGTAGGAACACAAATTCACTCTAAATAACTAAAATTGATATGTTTGTACTATTTGATATGTTTACTTTATTTTACTTTTTAATAAATGTAAAACGTAATTGAATAGCAGTAGAAAGACGATTTTAATTTACATTGTACCATATAAAAAAATCTAGGCATGTGTAAGTGTTTTTATCAATCTAACTTAAACCCAACGGGTGCTTCCGGCCTTCCACCACCAACTATTCCATCCCTCCTCCACGACTAATCATCAAGTGTTCATGTTCGGTTTGAATCAATTTTTTTCTAAAAAGAAATCAAATCAAATAAGTTAATTTTTTAAATATTGGAACCAAATCAAACTAATTAAATTAATTTTTTATCGATTCATTTTCTGTCGGGTTTTATCGATTTTTCAAAATTTTATTGTTTTTTTAAGATGAGCGTACACTATCAAACACATATCTGGCGATTACATTTTTAACGTAACACTATCAAAACAATTGCTCTTTGAGAAGTCTATCATTTACCAAGAAATATTGATAATAATTGAATCAACTAGTGATGGTAATTTAAGGACTCATAGATTATTTTTAACATGAAATAGATTCTCGTATTTAGCAAAACCAATTACAACTAGAATCTAAAGGCAGAGAACTAGATTATTATAATAGCAAAAAACTAGACTAAAAGTGTAAACGATTAACATGTACCATAAGGTTTTAGAAACTTTGTATAAAAATATACATATATAAAATAAATTTTAAATAACTACTTGTATAGTCGGCTTTGTTCGGTTTTTTAGTTATATTTTTATTAAAACCAAAACTAAATCAAATTTATTCGGTTTTTAAAATTCAAAACCAAAATCAAACCAGACCATACCAAAAAAGTATCTGTTTTTTAATTGGTTTGGTTCGATTTTTGGATTTTTTCACGTAAGTATAGTTCCTTTTAAGCGTTGATTCTGTGCTTTATCTTCTCTTTTCTTATCGGTGTTTATTGTGGTGCATCCTTTGCTCGGGTTGCCAGTGTTATTCCTCGACTCAAAGAGTGAGACAAGGGTATTGTGTCATAGATGCCCTACTCCGAGCGTTCGTAGCGCAAACTTTTTAAAAGTCGTTGGGAGGCCCGTTCACATGATAAGGTTCCTTCCCAGAGCAAGTCACATTGAACTTCTTCTCCTAGCGTTGTGTTCTCATTTCTTTTATTTTCTTTTGTAGGTTTGCCTAAGGTCGTCAAGCTTAGGCCTCCGGTCGGAGACGAGGGCTTGCCTGTTGAGTCTCCTGCTTCGGGACTATAACACTCCTCAAATCTAGAAAAGTTTCAAGACATACTAAATATAGAATTTAAATTTTTTTTATCTTGCCTTAAGTGCATAAAAATTATACTTCTATAACGGATTTAAACCCTTGTAATTGATTTTTGAGTTACTTCTCTATTTACAAATAATTGGATATATAATTAGGAAAATATTAATAATTTTAATATTATTAATTATTAAAAGTAGGTATAATTAAATACTAGTTAAGTCAAAAAAAAAAAAGGAAAAACAAAACAAATAAGGAAGCACGTGACAAGCCTTAGCCCTTTAAGGCAAAGGATTAAACAAAGGGCTTATACAAAGAAACAGAACGCTGTTCTGTTCACGCAGCAAACGCAAGGCACACAGGCAATAAAAAAGTTCTAGAGTTCTTTATAAATCACTAATTCTTGAACTCACGTATATAAATTCCCCATTGTCAATTATCCTACAGTAGTAGTAGGTAAGAATTGAATAGTTAATTCCTTTCTTTCTTTGTATCAACAGTAAATTTCATGTTTAGGTGTGAAACTTTAAAATTGATTAAAATACATTGGTTGTTGTAGAATTGATTATTTGACCGGTATAAATTGGACTGGATCTATGTATTGGCTCGAGGAGTTTTGAGGTGAGTTGATATAACCCTTTACTAAAGTGGTTTAACTCACAAAAGCACGCATACAATGTGTTTGATGAATTGCTTAAAAGAGTTAATATGTACTTAATTGGAGCGAGTGAGTATTTATTAACTTTGAATTGTTCTAGCTAAAGTTTAGATGATTTATTATGATATATATGCATAAATTTTCAGATTTTTGTGTTATTTTTATATGCCATTTTCATGTTAAAAATTCATGAAGAAGCAAGGATCTTTAGAAATATTTTTGAATATTTATTTCATTTTTATGCCATGCTTTAAGGATACTAATATGAGTATGTATAGGATGTTCCAGAAAAGATTTAGACTTGAAAAACCACAAGAAGAAGTTTTAGAAAGAAAAGATTTTTGGGAGTATCCTCTATTCTGAGAAGGGGTCATCGTCCAGGCCGAGGGTCCTAACCAAGGCATTGACTTCCTTAACTACTTGTGCCAAATTAGGGAGCACACGAGCTGGGGCTATTTATTTATCCAGGATAAGGTATGATACATGAGCGCCGAGAACCATGAAGCGAGTGACACCTCGTAGATCGGGCCTATTCGATCAGGAGCCGATCACACGGTGACTAACACAGAAATAAGTCAGGATAGTTGGAACTCCCGAAATATAAAGTGAAGTATTTTTTTTATAAGAAAGAAAAAGAAAAAAATCTTTTAGAATATTCATAAACAGCTATTATGCAATTATTTTAGAATTGTTCTTAGAAGCTTTATGTTTTCTATGCATTTAGAATCTTTGCTCGTAATGTATATTGTATTAAAGTTTCGTCCCCTATCGTTGAGACTCACTGAGTGCAATGGATGGTACTGACGTTCTCTTTTGGGAACCTACGTTAGTCTGCGGTACAACGTAGGAACCAGTTTTGTAGGCGAGCAGGCTACAGTTTAGGACTTCCCTCTCATCCAGTGCTATTGGTGAGCTCCGCTTTTGTTCGTGGAGTATTCTTTTGAGTCATATTTATGTAGTTATATTTCTTTGTTTACTTGGAGAACTAGTCAGACAATCTCATGTCTTGAGAAATGTGTCAGTTTATCAGTAGAGGTTTCATAGACACAGTCGGTGGGTTAAGATTAAGATATTTTTGATAATAACTTAGCAATATTTCAGTGATTACTATGAATAAAGTTTTGGAGTTGGTTTATTTTAGAAATTTAAATTAACTAAAAGTATTTGGTTAAAGTATTATCTTGTTGAATATAAAGTTTGAAGTTATAATAGATTTGATAAATACAGATGGTTTGCTCGGTCAATTTTAGTGATTGGGTGCCGGTCACGACTTGTTTAGAAAATGGGTCGTGACAAACTTGGTATTAGAGCATCAGGTTTATAGAGTCCTAGAGGTCTATAAAGTCGTGTCAGTAGAGTCTTATTTATGGGTGTGAAGCGCGCCATACTTATAAATAGGAGGCTACCAACATTTAGGAAAAGTCTCATTTTTTTTCTTACTTTAGATCGTGCAGTAAAGCTTACCTCTAAGAAATTATCTAACAACTCACAGAAATGGCTCGTACTCACAACTCTAACACCGACACTCAAGATGCTGCTCAAGAAACTATTGCTACTATTGTAACTCCAAGTAGAACTAAGAAGGCTTCAACTCAGAAATGGAAGGGTAAATCCTTAAAGGGGGTTCAAGTACCCTATGTTGAACATGAAGAAAGGGTGGATCATGATGAGCAAGTACCTTAGGATCCACTTCCACCCCCAACAGCTGTTCCAACTCAAACAACTATATCTCCAAAGGTGGGTTAGATGTTTAATGCTGTCAACAGTGCTATGGAGATGTTTAAAGCCTTCAAGGCCAACCAGAACGAGAGAAGAGATGAGATTCCACCTCAATCAAATAGACAGAACAATTCTAAGTCCTCAAGAGTGATTGAAGTTTTAAAGCT